CCGTACCCGCGGGTAACACGTACGGCCCCGTGAAAGTTTTTTACGGGTAAATTAATATCTCGGAAACCGCGGAGTCTAGGAATCTGAAATTTTAGTGTAATGACCCCCTGCCTACGCTCAGCCTTGCCCATTCAAATTCAGCGCTCCCGTGCTCTCGGGTATCACCTACGGACTAGTGAAAGTTTTTGCGGGTAAATTATTGTCTCAGGAACCATGGGGTCTAGAAAGCTGAAATTTTAGGGTAATGACCCCCTGCCCATGCTCAACCTTGTCCATTTAAATTCAGCGTTTCCGCGCTCTTGTGTATCACCTAAAGCCTCTTGAAAATTTTGGCGGATAAACTTTTAACTCGGGAATTATGGAAAGATATTCACCCTTCAAGGTTTCGCGTAAAATTTTTGACTGTTTTCCAATATTTGAACTATTTTTGCATAGACTAGAGTATAAATCAGTGAAAATTATTAATAGGCAATCATTCGATGGGCTGAATTGCAGAAAATGCACGATCGCTCCGGCTAGTCTGGTGCGCGTTGCTATTTATTATTACTGGAGTGCACCTACACGCCGGGCGCTGCCATCCTGGACCCTTCGCTAATGTGCTGCATGTCTTACTTTTTGTCCGGTGTAGGTACGCCATCGTTTTGGAGATCATCGGAGTGTTTCTTGCAAGTAATATTTACTCGCACGCTACTTCCATCGGTTGTTAACAAAGTAAATACTTTCTTATCCGTACTTATTGTTCTTAACACGGTGGCTTAAACTGGTTCGGCTCTGTTGGTGGTGCAGTGAAATTTGGTTAAATACGGGTGATCTTCTGCTGATGGTTATGGCACACACTTACTTTCTGACCAAGATTGGTGTAACTGTCGGTTGCTTTTGAATCAACTCTATGTCGTACAATTAAATCGCATTCGTAGTACAGTAAAAATAGGACGAGCGTGCAGGAAGAGGCGCAATTTGTATGTATGTACGTGATGTGATGACTTGAAGTGTATGAGTTTTGCGAGTGGTGGATCTACGGGAACCAGGTCGAACAAAAACAAGTATGCTTTATTAAAAATAGATGCGATGGCTCAAGACACGAAGATGCCCAAGTGGGCTGTCAATAATCACTGCGATAGACTGGTCTGATCGTTCAGGGATGCGATCTTCAAAATTACACACTAGATGCTCACGCCGAGCCGTGTAAAACGTCGCGTACGATTGCATTTACAAGACAACACAAACTGATGATCAAGCAGTAGGGAAATTTAGACGTCGATCTGTCGAGATATGGCGAACCGGTAGGTCCAAGACGAATGTCGAAGTCCTGCGAAGCAGAAAGTCCAAAAACGAGTGTCGACTGCTGTTGATAAGTCCTTTTATATTCCTGCAATGGAATTTCCATTAGCATCGAAGGGAAGTTTTTCCCATCCTTCGATTTAGGAATGGTGCGTGAAAGCAGCACCTTATGTTTATAGTTACGATGGTTTTTCTACCTCTCGACCTGGGAAAGGAGTCCTGGATCCACGGAAGGATATTTCCCGACAGAGTTTTTATTATATTATGTTTTGACTTACGCCAGAACATAACGCCGGAGCATTTGGTTTCTAGTGCTTCTACAAAGAAAAGGTCCTGATAGGATCTCGCTTTTACAAAGAAAAGGTCCTGATAGGATCTTTTATACAATGTTTTATAATATATTTTTCTATTTGTCAATTTGCAAGTAGTTTTTAAATATTTTAGAGTTTCGTTTTGCACTTCACGTCCTTTACAGTACTGTGCGAAACCTTTATTTTCTATTCTGTTCTCTTATCCGCATGTGATCCCGCAAACTCAAATCCATATACGCCATCTCACGTACGGTCACATGAAAGTTTTGGCACATAAATTAACTCCGGAAGCACAAATTTAGGGAGCTGAAACTTTAAGAAAATCTTCCTTACCTGCGTATGACCCTATAAAATTAAATTCAGTCTTTGCGCACCCCTAGCTCACATTACGGGCACGTGAAAATTTTGGCGCGAAAGTTATGAATTTGGAAACCAGGAGACCTAGGAAGCTGAAATTTTGGGGGCTATTTCCTGTGACTCCACAAGCTCACATGCAGTCCTCTTCCTTGCCTAGGTCTTATGTGGGGTCACGTGAAAGTTTTGGCGCTAGAGTTAATAACTCGGGGATCACGAAAGCTAGAAAGCTAGGAGGATGCTTCCTCCTGCGCACGACCGCGCGAATTTAAACTGTCCTTCCACGTATGCCTTGGTTTCATGTATGGGCATATGAAAGTTTTAGTGCGGAAATTATTACCTCTTGAACCAGGAAAGTTAGGAAGCTGAAATTTCAGAAAAATGCTCCCTATTCGCGTATAAATCCAGTCCTCGCGCATGCCTTAAACTCACCTACAAACACGTGAGAATTTTGACGCCAAGACTTGTAACTCGAGAACCACGGAAATTTCTAGACATATCAAGCTGTATAGCAGTGAACACTACTAACAGCAAGTTCTTGAACAGTGTTGCACAAGCGTCCGCTGGACAGAGCTGTACAAAACGCATGATCATATTGCTGTATCCGTGCTCTTACGCATGCTACGTCGTATTGTGTTCATTTTTCCCATTTTCGCATTTCGAGCCTGACTAACTGATCCTTCCTGCATTAGCAACCGTAGGTTTAACTAACGTTTGCCCATGCTGCTAAAGCTTACTTGCATAAAAGACAGTGTATTCTTGGTATGTTTGGGGCTCGTATCTGCTGTGTCATAACACTGTCTGATCCATTCTCTTATCCCTACCGTACGATGAAGTGCCTAGGTTCATGCATTAGGAATTAAATAGTTTCGTTCAGAGTTCACCATAGCTTTACCCCCTTCCTTAACTTATACCACTTCTGCAATTTCAGGACGCAGCGAACTGGGAGCATGAAAATTTAGGGTTTTAATTTGCCCTTATAATGCGCGTATAATCAACGTATCAAAACTTTCATTTTTTTTGTCGCATGATCCCTCCACGGTAACTACAAAGAGGGGTAAACTATACACGCGAAATCGTTTTGGTTCTTTCTACTCGCTAAATGTGATATCACAGGTTCATGTATTGGTGTACTTACCCGCTGCATATCTCCAGCATCATGCCGGAAGCGGCTGAAACGCAAATAACCAGTTCAGCATTTTGTCGTACTGAGAGCGGGCATTTGCATAGATGATGAGGTCAGAATTTTATCGTTGCATATCGCTTCAAAAGATTGTGTTAAGTGTTAGTCACACTGCAGCAATCACCTGGATGATGCCGTATTCTGTGCCTTTTGCAACAGGACTGTTGGTTTGTGGCTTCTGAGAGATGGAGTATTTGATGTTGAAAAAGAACATCAGAAGTGGTGTGCCTTCGGATCAGTTGATAAGCGATATACGAATGAGTGGCAGTGCCGCCTTTTACCACTTCATCGTTTCTCAAAGGTTGATTTTAATGGCAATACCTTGTCCCCACTAGAGTAAACTGAATTATTTCATAGTGGAAAGTAAACCTGTATTAAGGCGGATAAACTTCCAGGATCGTCTCTCTCATTGGGCTGCAAAAGCAGACGCATGGAAGTCGGTGTTAATACCAGAAAATGCTTCATGTTTGTGATGATTTTTCTACATGTCATTTTATTACACTTGACGCTTATGAACTCATCCGGTACCTTCATCAACTTTGATGTCTCACTTTGTTTATCTTTGCTATGGAAAATGCAGCTAGCTTTGCGCTCACCGCAGTCGTCTAACTTAAAAACGTCTATCGACTGGATCCTTTTATCTCACTGTTTTTCTTTTTTTATTTAAAATCGCATGAGTAATAATTATCTGGTGGCCGGCATGGTGCAGCGAGAAATAGCGCGCACTGTTTTCGTAAGTCTATGTGTAAGTAAATGATGTCTGTGAAAGACGGCTGGAACTGCTAATTTTTATGAATTTTTTGCATCTATGCAATGCAAAAATGCATTTTGTCGAGGAATTTTTGTGTGCGTCTAGGCCGAATTTTCATTTAGTGACCTACAAAAGCTATAAGGATGCAAGTTTGGGAACTTAATCTACACACATGTACGGGCCCCCATCCCCAAAATGGATGCTCTTAAAAATGTGGTTCCGGCACATGGACCCGTGAAAATTTCTTGCAAGTAAGTTGCTAACTCGGGAACCAGGAAAGCTAGAAAGCTGAAATTTTAAGATGTCCTCCCTTCACGTGGAGCTTTAAGACTTAAAATTTAGCTCCCAGGTATGGGTAGTTCCTGCGCACGGACTCACGAAAGTTTTTGGTGGGTAAATTGCCAACTCGGGAACCAGAAAAGCTAGAAAGCTGGAATTTTAAGGGGATGTTTTCTGACAGTCGTGATGTTTTTAGACAATTCTTTTAGTTAGCTGGAAATAACAGTACCGTTAGCGACAAAAACCTATGGAGAACTGTGCAAAAATCGCATCTTCGCACTAGCAGTCGATGCGCTGGCCAATTATTGATTTTTGTATCAAACTTGTTTTTCGTCAGAAACATCGAAGGTCACAGCACTGAGCAACCCCCATTAGCAAGCCGTTCCTGCACGAGTCGTCCTTTTATGATGCACGTACAATTATTTACAAACCAATCTTGGACAAAATTTTTGCAAGGCGAAGCACCACTGACACAAATCCCCTCCTACTCCATGCTGTAAATTTAGCTTCGTCGAGTTTAGCAGCTTGAGCAGCGAGCAGTGTCACCTAAATTGGTGCCGTTGCCGTCCAAACTCTATACTGAGCGTAAATCACGTACCACATGCGGGACCTGTCCACAACCATAAGAATATCGAAGAAAACATTGAAGCTTTGGATGGAACTTAAGCTTAATGCTTAAAAATGAGGAGCAAGCGGAAAATAATGTCGCAGTTCCGCGCCCAAGCACTATAGCTCATGCGGTCAGGACATGTGCTTCGCCTTCCAGGACTGTTACCCTTAAAGCATAACATTCACCGTACAGTTATCATGAGCCATTCCTGTCGTTTCGCGTCGATACACCGAGAGCTTTGAAGATTGCATTACGTTTTACGGGAAAGACATTTTTGGGTGGCACATTCTTACGTAACTGCGCACTGATAACACCGCCGTTTTTACTATTTCTTGGTAGTGATGCACTTCGCTTGTCTGAAATACGCAAAACGTTGAACCCTTACGTACCTTACTACTTCAAGGAAAAAAAGCGACGGGGTACTGCCGTCACAGACATCCAGTTCATCCAGAAGCTAAGCAAATACATCTCTATGCATAGTCATCACTACTGCTGCGACCAGGAATTCCGCATGGGCAGTTGGATGCATCCTGTTAAAGAGGGGAATGGAAAACTTCTAGGAATCACCTCGATAACAACTACCAAGTCTCACGGAATCATTAAATGCTGGAACTAACCTCTCAAGCTCCTGAGACTAAAGGCTTCTATTTCCCAGGAATGAACGTACAAAAAAGAAGAAAAGATGGTGACAAAGTGAACGCGGAAATTTCAGGAGGAGAAGTCTGAAATACAGTTAGAGAGGGAACAAACTAGAAAAAAGCGAAGAAACACAGAAGCAACTCACTGCCACTAGTGTAGACAAAGCTAACGGTAACTGGCAGCTCTGTGACTACTATTATAAATGAATGGAAGATCCCCTCCCATCTCCTCCCTTATCTAAAAAAATTTTTGCGGTGTTATCTTTCAAGCCGTGATACGCTGAGTGGCAATCCAGTTCCTCCCTTGTGACGTTTTTTGGCGTGAGGTGCGAGTAAAAAAGTACGTGCATTTGTACTGCAGTTCAGTGTTTTGCATTGTTTTTACCAGCGCCTTTTTTCTGATGCATTTTGCGGTGTTTTTTTTTTTTTTTCGACACCTTCTGTCCCGCACTTTCAATTTGGGAACCATGAAAGCTCGGAAGCTGAAAGCTTAAGGGAATGTCCCCTGCTACATACGACTCAGCATTTTTAAATGCAGCCTTTCCGTTCGTCTGGGTTACATGTGCAGTCCCCTGAAAGTTTTGGCAAAGAAAATTATTATTTCGGGAACAACAAATCTAAGAGTGAAATTTTAGGGAATGTCACCTGCTCACGTAAAATCCCGCATACTCGAATCCGGATTTCACGTAAGCCTGGGTCTCATGTACGGTGCCGTGAAAGTTTCGGCGGGGAACATGTTATCCCGGGGGGCGAGAAGAGCTAGGAAGCTGAAAACTTCAGCAGGATGTTTTCTGCCCATGCAAGGGTTTAAAAAACTCAAGTTCCGCTCCCAAATACGACGCGTCTCACGTATGTGAAAGTTTTGACGCGAAAGTTACTCGGAAGCTAGAGGATCAGGAAGCTGAAATTCTGGAACGACGTTCACTGTCCGAAATTTTAAATCCATCTTTCAGTATGTTTACATTTCACGTCCGGTACTTGAAATTTTTGACAGGAGATTTCGCAGCCTAGGAACCAAACAGCATGTCGACTGTTTTTGCACAGGCCAAATTACAAAAGAGTGGAAATCTATAGTAGGCAAACATCAGGTAGATGGGACTGCGCAAGACCCATGACGCCACCGGCTACCGTGGTGCACACATTACGCCCCTGTTCGTCGTTCCACTGGGGGTCTTCTTACCTTTTTTTCATCCATAAATAAGTGACAGTTTCAGGAGCAGACCCGTCATTGAAGTGACCGGACATCGAAGAAGAGATATCAAAAAAAAGGAAAAACTTGCTTGTTGTGTTCATTGATTCAATTACTGCTCCTAACTGTTCGATTTCTGGCTCAGTTGAGAAGGCGCTTTTCATTCGTTCAGGAGTGTCTGAGGAGCTCGACATTCTCACACGGTCATGCGAATGCGAATTCACAGTGCCTCGCACTGTTGATGGCGTCGTTGGTCGTGTAGCAGATGTATGATGGTAGCCTCTCCTTAAATCAGACACTGAATATTATGCAAAAAATATCATGAAAAGTGCCCAGTGATTCGAACGTAGCATTTTGCGCTATCAATCTACACCAATAGCAGTGCTGCGGTTTAGATGGACGGCGCTCTAGTAACGGCAGGTGATGCAAAATTGGAAACTATGCGAAGCAAAATTAGTGGGCACATTCCAATGGTGGGAAATGAGTGCTCCGTAAAAATCCAGTAAGGAAAATACTGGGACATGCTACAAGCGTGCGCTCTCAGCTTATTCAATCCCCATCCAGGCCATCTGCAAAGCTTTTCAAAAACAGAACAAAACTATTTTCCAGGTCCAACTGGGTAATTCCCTTCTACAACCTCAACACGGCTATCCCTAAAACGAACTGAAACTCATTTTGGTCATGCGCAAAATAATTTTAATCAGTAAGTCATGGAAAATGACTGCTGGACAACCGTGTACCATAGAAAGCTTCGAACAAGACGTGAGCCATTTGTTAGTGTACTCCCGCTCAAAGTAACATCCTTCTTTTACACCTTTGAAGTTCTTTTGCAAAGTTTGTTGCCCGTCTCTCTTTCCTCCAAGCCGCATTTTTACAGCCCACTGAGAAAATTCGCACAGTGAGCCCAACAAACCCCCGACAGCAAACGAACCTGTCTTCGAAACACGTTAAATCGCAATGAGATTTAGAGGAATGGCTCTTGCACAGGTCTGACGGCAAATCGAACATTTCAGTTTTTTACCAAAACAAGACAATGAACAATCCGGGACTATTTGGCGTGTTAAGGCTGTCCTCAAGCTTATAGTACCAAGCTATGCTCTTATGGAAAACAAGAGTTTTTTAACTACGATATAAGGTAAGAAGCTGCTTCCCCTGTTATTATTATTATCCAGTGAAGCCACAGCAAAAGGAACAAAACTGGCAAACACTGCTTGGAAAAAATGCATTACTGAATTTATCAGCACACTTTGCGGGGATGGGGAATAAGACTGCAAAAAGATGAGATCTGCACACCTGGGTAGAAGCAATGCACGGAACATAAACCAACTTAAACTTATCCGTGTTTGTATCCCATGTGTTTTTTTTTTGTGTGTGTGTGGTGAGGTCAGGATTCTGTGCACTCAGTGTTCTCTTATATATGTATACGTGTGATCCAAAACGCTGAGAATAGTGTAGTGTGTGGACAGCAGAGCAGAGTTGTGTTCGATCTTCACCCTTGTTCTGTGCTATGAAACTGGCTAAACATTTCTGAAAGCAAAAGTGATGTAAGTAGGCGCGATATACTGGGATGGGCGAAAATGCAAGCTTACTTGGTGGGAGAAGGTGGAATTGCTGAAGCTGCTGTGCGAGATGATGCTGCCGGCAAAGGAACTCGGCTAGGAGGAATCCGATCACTTGCTGGGAACGTTGAGGAATTAGTAAGCCGAGGCCTTACAGGATGCCGCAAATCAGTGACTGTTGGCGGTAATCCTGGTGCTGAATTTCTTGAAGGTGACTGCACCGTGGAAACTCCCTTATTAACGACAACCACAGAACCATCACTGGTCCACCGTAACTGAAAACGAATTTACGACAGAAATATAAAATTACTATTTCCCTAATTTCAATGACAACACCGCATCATTAAGGACCACCAGTTAGTATGAAAAAAAAAAAAAATCAAGCATTAGGGTAAACAGCATTCTGAAACTATCTGTCCTTTCAAGACAGAAAATACATACATTATTATTATAATTCCGAGTGTTCGCAAGAATATTGTTGCGCATTAGTGCCAAATCTTCCTCTTGATTCCTAATAACCTGAAGATGAATTACATTCAGGATTGTTCGACGGAGCAGCAAATTCAACAATAACACAGAAGTGCAGTTTATGGGGACCTCTTTGTAAGCTTGAACTTCCGAACGAGTTGCTTCCAGAGCTGTGCGCAACTGGTCCCTTTCTAAGCGCAAGGCAGAAACTTCTTTTCGCATCTCTGCAATTAATGAAGCTTCTTGCACCTGAGAAATACCTGCAAGCAGCGTTAATTTATTCTCAAAAACTGTTTAGCTATTAAGAAATCCAATTAATTAAGCTAAATCCGGAAAAGTCAGTCACGAACTAACAACAAACCATGGTCATTTTGGATGTTCATTTCGTGCACACCCAATAACATTTGCTTCCGTTCATTTATCAGAAAAAGCACCATCGACTTGTGGCGCTCCTTCTCGTCGCACAGTTTCTTCTCCAGCCGTTTCACCTCCATGCGAATTTTATCACTCTCTTTTTGCTCGTATTCCAGCTGAAAGTGAGGTAGTACCAACTATCACTGAATGAACAAAACAGTTAAATTCAGTATTTAGCATCATCTCGGCTGTGCTCGTTAAGCCAGCTGAAACCGCAACACCACAAATAATAATAAAATGTGACTGCTACCCGTCAGTCTCAAAAATGGAACTAAGTGCAGAAGTTTTTCTAAATTCTATACTTACTTGCTGACGAAGACGGGTTCGTTCAGTCTCCAGGAGCGCGCAAAGATCATCACCTTGAGCAGCATCGGCAGCCGAGCGCTGCTTTGCTTCGTCCAACTCTCGCAGAATGCGCGCATGCCGCTTTTCGGCAGCTGCCAGGATCTAGACAAATGCACTACGAAAATGATCACAGAAGTATTAACAATACCACACGGCTCTCCTACTGCTACATTTTGTTGAGCTGCTCAAAATCCTTCAAAAATATCAGCTTTATTCACTCCACCACAGGTTACGATAGGCGGGATGCTGTCAGAAGTACAAAAATGATGATTAAGACTAAAAAGTAAAGCCGTACAAACGATGATGACACAAATCACTGCCCCATCACCTTTTTTTTGCGCACCTTTACAACTATACTCATCATCACTGTCACAAATTTTCATTACTTTACTGTTTTTTCATCGACACAATTGTGATGAGTTTGGAAAAGGAAGGGGGGGGGGGGGGGGGGGGGGG